TATATATATATATATATATGTGCATAATTGATTGTTTAGCAGGGTGGGTGGGAAGATGAGTGGGGGATGAGAGTCAAACGTTTTTCTTTACACATAAGTCCTATTGAACATAAGTCCTATTGAACACAAGTCCTATTGAACATAAGTCCTATTGAACATAAGTCCTATTGAACATAAGTCCTATTGAACATAAGTCCTATTGAACATAAGTCCTATTGAACATAAGTCCTATTGAACAAAGTCATATTTAGCACAAGTCCTATTGAACATAAGTCCTATTGAACACAAGTCCTATTGAACATAAGTCCTATGGAACGTAAGTCCTATTTAACACAAGTACTATTGAACACAAGTCCTATTTAACTTAACCGATTTAACACAGGGCGTGGTCGGATACATTCAAAACCGTATGTGTGTGTGTGTTTGGGGGGAGGGGTGTATGTGTACCTAATGAAACAGGGCTGGCTGCTTAGGTTGGAAGTTAATCCAAACATAAAGTCATTCACCTCAGGTCAAAGGTTGGATTTGTTCATTTTAAACAGTTTTGTCGTATGATTAAATGACGCTTCAAATAGTGGGGGTGGAGTAACAGGCACATGGCTAGCGTTGATAAAGGACAAAGCGGATTGATCCAGGCAGACATCCCGTCTTGCGAGATAGTTTGAAATTTCCGACGTTTCATTTCGTCTTTCGCAGAAGCTAATCACGTGCATCAAGGTTCAAGGTGAAGTTGATAAACAGCGGGCGTACACCAGTTCCTATTAGTCCCCTATTAGTCTCATTTAGTCCCCAGTCAGTCCTAATCAGTCCCCCATTAGTGTCATTTAGTCCCCAGTCAGTCCTAATCACTCCCCATTAGTCTCATTTAGTCCCCAGTCAGTCCTAATCAGTCCCCCATTAGTCTCATTTAGTTCGCAGTCAGTCCTAATGAGTCCACCATCAGTCCCAATTATCCCCACGTCATTCCCAAAGAGTCTCCCATCAGTCCCATATGCGTGGATAGTTTGTTATATCCAAATTATTTTGTTTTGCTATGAGAGTGGAATGTTTGAATTGGATATGGTCTGGCTTGAGTGCACCACTTGGAGAAATTGAATATAATCCTGCGATAATTTTAGTCCCAACCTTGACTAAACGTTATGAACATCAGCGGCCATTTCTTGCCATAATATCCTATGATGCAGTCCATAGTCTTTACATAGGAAAACTGTTAGAATGAATTCTATGTCAAAACACTTAGGAGC